GTACGCAGAGTAGCTGGGGACTGGGAAGATGAGAACTGGCGACTTGGTAGTACAACTTTAGTACGCAGAGTAGCTGGGGAATGGGAAGATGAGAACTGGCGAGTGGGTAGTAGCTGCGACTGGCGACGGTGTAGTATAACTGTAGTGCGCGGAGTAGCTGGGGAGCTGGAAGATGAGAACTGGCGACTTGGTAGTACAACTAACACGTGCCTTTGACAACAGGCAGTGGAAGCCAGCTTGCTGGCTGCCATTGTCCAGATGGAAAGCCAGCACGCTGGCTACTATCATAGTTGAAGTGGGTAAGCCAGCACGCTGGCTGCCATTGTCCAGATGGCAAAGCCAGCGCGCTGGCTACCATCATAGTTGAAGTGGGTAAGCCAGCACGCTGGCTGCCATTGTTCAGATGGCAAAGCCAGCACGCTGGCTGCCATCATAGTTGAAGTGGGTATGAGCCAGCACGCTGGCTGCCATTGTCCCCTTACCAGCAGCCCAAATGCTCACGACGATGAGCTGGGCTGTCACCGCTTGGCCGCTGGTGGGGGGTTTGGGAGGCCGCATCGCACACAGACACCCACACACTCCCTCAACTTCCACGAACACACACATACGCAGACTCGTTTCCACACGGACATAGACACACGCACAGAAACCCACACGCTACCTCAACTCACTCGACTTAACACTTCTCACTACACACTTACCGGATAACTCGCACTCTGATTTCCTACGTGATGAAAAATGCTTTCGGGCCACTCGTCGTCTAGTTAATACTTTTTCAATATTTTTTGTTGTGCGCTTTCTAAGTGCACACTCATTGTACAAGACATTAGATACTCTTCTACGATACGCTAGGTAGGCTATGCGTGGGGTGGCGTGGGATGAGTGGAGATGTTCATGTTCGCTTTTAAGTGCACACCTAGAGATTAGATGCTCTTCTACGAAACTTCCAGTTCACGAATTTGGTCTCGGGTGAGTTCTGCAAGACCAGCAGCGTTGTATGTAGACGGTGCCAGGGCATGGGACAAAGCAGCGCATTTGACAAGTGCTTCCACTTTGTGCATCAGAAAAAAGAGTACAGTGCTCGCATCAAAGACACAGGTTCCACGGGGGCTGTCATGGGAAGCGGGCACTCAAACACATGGTGCAGATTGGAAGAGTTTGAAATGTCGGCGGCCACAGAGAGCCAACAATAGAAGAGGCAAAGGTGTGAAGGCCTCGCGTTGAGCGAAGCTGGAGTTGCGTGTGTTGGCAATGGTGCTTCGATGTGACAAGTTGCGTGGAACACCGGCGGAGAATGCGAAAGCGCCCTGCAAAGTGTGAAGCACGAAGTAGTTGTCCAAAGTGCAAAGAACAAGGGGCGCCCGTGTGTGCCGCACTACATTGACCAAAAGGTGCAAAGCACTCCCAGAAGAGTACTACACCAAGTCTGGACTCGCACCTGTGACCTCGCACCTGTGACCCGGGCAACTTCAAGCAATGGTTTTGCAAGCTACGTGGACGATGTCTTCGATGGCATGCATCGGAACTATGTTCAGGCTCAGGCAGACTCAGCCTGTGCTTGCTGATGGCAGATCTTGTGGTTGGCTTTCCGGAATATCGCTACGGCTGGGACAGTAACAATGCTCAAGGCAGAGCTACCTCAAAAACCGCGAGTTCAAGCAAGGTGTGGTGTATGCCGCGCTTGACTGTGCAATATGGAGCGTGTCATCCAATACGCCTACGACATCAAGATCGACTTCGCGATCGACTAGGACTTCAACGGACCCAAGAAATAATTGAGAAGCAAGATCGACAAGCCAGAGGCGACAACCTGGAACAGCCTCGCAACAGCTTAACAGCTCCAATTTGGCAAGAACACCTACCAGAGAATCTGAGCGGCTGTCTTGCTTCTCATGCAAAAAATGCATTGAGGCCGTTGAGCAGAAGAAGGCGTACGTGCACTGGGTTGATGACCCTGTGCGTATGAGTCTCTTCAAATGAAATCCTTGGCGGCGTGTTGGTGGTGAAAGGAGCCAAAATTTCCATTGACAGATTGAACTGGCAAGGCACTTTCACTTCGACATATACAACCTCCAAGAGGCACAGTTGGGCATCTGATCGCATGTCGTGGTGACATCAACAATGCCATACAAGAGTGCGACGGTGACGACGACATGATCATAAATTAAGAAGATCACCAGGAGAAAACATTTGCATCATGAATCATGTACCTCTTCTAACCAGAAGCACAGAAGACACGGAGAGATCTGAGCAGAACACGCCAACCCCGTCAGCGCAGCCTATGCAGGTGACAATGCTTGACAGATGATGCCTGGCAGGAAGATCAGATCAACTATGAGCGCACTTGCACTTCACCGGAGGACGATGAGAAACATGGTGGTATATGTTGCGTGCGCTCTACTTTCATGGAGCCAAGTCAAACCGAATCTCGCGCAGTACATCACATGATGAGACGCTTGCCATGGTCAACGCACTTGAGGCAGCAACTTTACGCATGATCCGACTACCACACACGCTGAGAAGAAACCGAGCTTGCAGCAGCTGATCAAAGTACAGACGCTAGGGATCAGTTGTTTGCCCATGGTGCGAGAGACGTTGTTGCATTGGCAAAGGGTTTTGATCCCCACGCAACGCACGCCGGCAGACTCATTCACAAAGAGTCTTGTGATGGCGTGTATCTGTTGTTTTGGTCGAGCACAAACCAGAGTCTCCTTTGCCACCTTCCTCTTGGTTTTGGCAAGTTTACAAGAACAAGCTCGTGATGTTCACGGTCTCGATGGCCAGCGCGGCTCACGCGCATACAGGACGCCGGCGGAGACATAATCCTTTACGCGATCATGGTGGCGATGGGTGTGCAGACTGTCGCGCACTACCTGCTCGAGAAGACGGAAAGACCAGCGGCAGTGAAAGATGGAGCCGTCAAGTGATGGCGCAGCTTTGATGGCAGCAAGAACAGGAAGCGCCCTTGTCACGCAACACACGAGAATGGTCCTGAGAAGCTCGCGGAGAAGATCGCTGGATATGAAGAGCTCGTCGAGAAGCTCTACAGGAGTCACGACCAGAAAAAGACATCAGCCGACGATTGGTACCGGGTATGCTGACGTAAAGGATGACATCGATGCCATTCGTGCTGAACGTGACGATGCTCGAGACGATCGAGGCAAACCTCGATCTACGCTGCGTGAGGATTACAACAAGCAAGTGGACCTCCACAACCAGATCACAAGTTTGGAGAAAGGACTGCTTGGATGGCATGAAGAAGGCCTATCAGAGAAGGGACGCAAGGACTTGCAGGAGAGGTTTCAAGAGGCAGAGGTCACCAGCACTGCCTTCTGTTCCGAATCCGGTGACGCCACAACCGTCGATAGAAAAGCACTCCCAGTCCAAGAAAGAGCAGGTGCCAGAGAACAATGGTGGATGATTTCATATTGAAGGCTGTCATCATTTGAGCAGCCAGGCAAAAGCCTATACGAGTTGGACGAACTGCACGCGCTGATGCTCCACAGGCACCCCAGCAAAAGGTGACCGGAGTGTATGACATGTACGCAGGCGCCTTGGGTCAAATACAAGCGAGTTTACTCGTATGTTAACATGTTTACTTTTGCATATGTGCTGGTTGAACAAGACCCCAGCAAAAATTGCTCTTGATTTTGCATACCAGCTTACTGAAACAAAACCCCACTGAAAGTTACTGAAGCAAGATCCCAGCTGCACTTGTAACGCGCACCCTTTCTACAGAAGAACCCTTCGCAACGCTCCCGGGAATATGGAGCGGAAAAGGCCGAATCAACAAACACGCAAGAATTGCATAGGTATACGCTCGTTGAGGCGTTTTGGTCTGGAATTTCAAAACGCAATCATGGTCGAACTCGTTTCGGTTCCTGAAGATTTTTGAGGTCTGAAAGGGCCAGTATACATTCTTCAAAAATTTTCCCCTTTACTTCGAAGCAAAGGCGCATTCTTTTTCGAAGCAAAGGCGCATTCTTTACACGCTTCATTCGAAAACTTCTTCGCTTTTCACGACCCTTTTTTCCTTGTATTGTTGTCATTGTTTTTTTGATCGTTTGTGGCATGAAAACAATGTTCCTGGAGTCTCTTCATCAATCTGACACGCTCAGGTCACATGACATTGACAGAGAAATCCGAGACGCAAAGGCTTATGAAAAGAAGTGACTTGTGGCACGTTTTCACAGCACGCTTCCACACGCGATTATAAGGCTGTATGTTTAGAATCATTTCTTCACTCTGGTGGCCGGGGTTCAGTGTTCAGTCAGTTAGTACCTTCATGCCAAAGGCACTGGCCCGTAGTCCTACCAAAGTTTTTCGATCCGGATCCGTACGATGCCAGGCAGAGGGATCTACAGAAAGCCAGACAGGCCCTTACGAGCGCTGAGAAGTCGTTGCGCTCGTCAGGAATCCTGCACGCACTCAAGATGAGAAAAGGACAAGAAAGATCTCAAGGCCCTTCCTTTGTATAGGGGCTCCTGGCCCTACTACTAGGAACAAGGACGCTAGTAGTAACAAGGGCGTCGCTACTAGGAGCAAGAATGCTACTAGGGGCTCCTGGCCTTACTACTAGGAGCAAGGACGCTAGTCTACACCTTGCTACAAACAACATGGTTTTTTGTTCCTACCTCCTGGCAAAAAAAACCAACAGGTGAGACCCTGGGTGAACGATGTGACGAATCAAACGTTGCAAGTCCAGGAACAAGGCCAGGTGGCAGGCGTGTTTGATGCAGGCAGCCATGCTACAAGAGGTCGCAACCTGCCTGGAGCACCTGAGACGGGAGGACCAGCTGGTGTGTTGGAGGGTTGGTTTGACACCATAGTAGCCATGGCCTCCTCCACCCGACACAATTCATAGCCTTGCTAATGAGGAATGAGGATCAACCAAGCTTGACCAGTCTTCAAAGCAGTCCTTTGCATCCTTCGTTTTCGCTCATGTTCATGTAGAGGCCATCACTACTCGTAGTAGGTTGGAGGCCATTGCCAATTGCTGCTAGGGTGGAGGCCATCGCTAATCGCCTTTTGGATGCCTTTTTTGCCTCTATTCGAAGCTCATCTTATGATTCGGTATGAAGTTCCAAGAAAACGCTCGCAGGAAAGGAGGCGTCAGATGACGTTGGACTCTGAGGAAATCCTGCTCGTTCCATGTTTGTCTTCGATTCGGCTTCACGGTGAGTGTCTCTTTTTGCAGAGGATCCGAACCAACACCTGAGGCTCACGTGGACTTTACGACGTGACATTATGTGCCTTTTCGTTCCAACTTCTACCTTTCAAATGTTCCTTTTCCTCTTTTCTTTCTTCTCTTTCTCCTTCTTCCTAAGAACAAGACTACGAGAGCTGGTAGGAATGCTGGCGCAACCCTTTGCTGAGCTCATGGAATCACAGTATGCACCAATCTTTTACCACGTCTCCACTGAGGGCGCCGTTGGCGCTTCCAGCGCCAGAGCCACAGATCCCCAGCGCTCTTCCTCCCACGGAGGGCCCTGAGGCGGCTAGCGCCCGCGCTCATTCTATTGAACAACAACAAGCTTCTTTTGAGTTTGCTCATAGCGATGGGGGTCCAACCTACTAGTGTCCTTGCTCCTAATAGCGATGGCCTCCAACCTACTAGCGATCAAACGTGTCCGATGCCCACACATGATTCCACATGTAGACCGTAGACCAGACAAAATATGTTTTTTTCCCCAAATAGTGCTCCGCACTAAGGGGTTCTTACGGTAAGAGTTAAGCGGGTTTAGATCAGGGTTCGCGCGTGTGTCCCCGGCATGTTGCGTGGGCCGGCTCGCGCAAAAGTTACTTTTTGAATTCCTCATGTCCATTTCGACTGCGCAGGCTCGCATAAAGTGGGGGTCGCGGCTTTCGCGCTTCCGGGACAAAGCTCTCGTGCAGGTGCCGTGCTCGTTTTCGGACATGAAGTGCATTTTGCGTGGCAGGCGCAAGGAATTCGACGCATTGGAGCCTCGAAAAGGTCATTTTACGTGGCAGGTGCAAGGAATCGGAGACTTTGCAAATTTCGTGGCAGGCGCAGTGTTTTGTGGACGTTGCAAAAACGTTGGCAGGCGTGTGTCGTTCGCAGGATTGCGTTTCACGTGGCAGGCGCAGGGAATCCGCACCATGGATGCGATATTTTGAGGTGAAACGGCTGAATTCGTGAGAGGGGTCGCATTTTTGGACTTTGACCTTGGGATGATTTTGCGTGGCCAGTGCAGCATTTCGTATGACCTGCAGGCATGATTTCGTGGCAGGCACAGCATTTCTGAAACGCATTTCAAAATTTGCGAAAGCCTCGTGCAACTTGCTCTTTTTGGATCTCCGATGTGCAGAGTTCGTGGCAGGCGCAGCACTTTGTGAATCTCGATGTGCAGATTTCGTGGCAGGCGCAGCACTTTGTGAATCTCGATGTGCAGATTGCGTGGCAGGCGCAGCACTTTGTGAATCTCGATGTGCAGATTTCGTGGCAGGCGCAGCACTTTGTGAAGCTCGATGTGCAGATTTCGTGGCAGGCGCAGCACTGTGTGAATCTAGATGTGCAGATTTCGTGGCAGGGCAGCACTTGCTGAGTCTGGAAGTGCAGATTTCGTGGCAGGTGCAGCGCTTTGTGAATCTCGATGTGCAGATTTCGTAGCAGGCACAGCACTTTGTGAACCTCGATGTGCAGATTTCGTGGCAGGCACGGTACATTGTGAACTTCGAAATGCTCTTATGTACTCGCCTATGTGCTCTCAGATTTGTGCTTGTATGTGCACGCCTGGTCCCTCTGGTCTTTCACATGCTTCCGCATCTGCTGCTCTCATCCGTGCGCTCTCACATTTGTGCTCTTGTGTGTATCCTCTCATATTTGTGCTCTCATCTGTGTGCTCCTTCTTTCCTTCCACGTGATGCCATGTTCCATCTGTTCCTCTTTACACTATTTGGGGTCCCTTGCCGGTGTAATTTTTTTTGCGTGGACATCCTCATGTAGGGGTTGGAAGTTCGACTTGAGCGATTCATACCCTCGAATCATACCCCTCAAAACGTTACACGTAAGAACCAGGTGTTAAGGTGAAGTTTTTGGTTGGTCTTTGTGCCTTATAAAAACGTCCATGAGCCAATGGTGCATGACGTTTGCAATTGTGTGATCCATGGGCACTCAATTTGGCCAAAATTGTGTGTGTGTCTTCTTGTGGGAAGAGCAAAGGCTCATAAAGTTCCCATGTGCTCTCCCTTGGGAAGAAGAGCCAAAGGACCGCCTTCTTTTGCAGAATCTAATGGCCATACGAATCACACCCAATTCATGCCCGATTCATACCCGAATCACGCACCTCCACACAGTCCTTGTTCTGCAGTTTTTTGTTCTGCAGTGTTTTCCATTGCGCACTGCCCGTTCAAAAGCGTTGTGCGAGCACACAGTTGTCTCGCTTGCCACTTCAGGGAAGCTGTTCGTCTCCAAGACTTCTCACCAGTTGACGATGTGTTGATTCGTGATTTTTCTCCACAAGCTGGTTGCAGTTCATTCCAGGGTCATTTGGAGTTGTCGGGTGCTTGTTGTCATGATTTACACAGCCCCCCAAGCCTCACCTTGCTCTAAGCAAAGAGCTGAAGGGAAAAGGTAGACCTGAAACCATCTGTGTGATTCCTTGTTCAATTGGCATCGCCAGTGGCCGTCGCCTTGAGTCACAACACGTGCCGCCAGTGCCCCTAGGGAACTTCTCATCCCATCTTTGGTGCATCGCTCGCATCCGAAAAGAAACCTCATGAGCGCACTCTGGGGGTTTTCCGTGTTTATTCAGTCGAAACCCACAGGTCTAGTCGTGAGATGGGGCGAGCCCATGGGATCCACATAGCGTTGAAAGCTCGCGCCCGTGGAGACAATCGGACAGGCGACCTCGCAGGCTGAAGACCAAACTCGCGAGGAGGCACTTTGAGTTGTTCTGGGAGCCAACTGGAAGGCACTTGGCGTCTTGCTTCAAGGTTTGAGGCCATTGCTATTAGGTTGGAGGCCATTGCTTGTAGGTAGGGGGGCAGAGCGGCCTTCATGCGCAGGCTCAGGGGCACGGAGGTTGTGGTGTGCGCACCGGATCTCATGACACTCACGAAGAGGCACCTGACTCAGTTGTTGAAACAGAGCTAACAAGGAGCAAATGGAGCTACTAGGGGCTCTGGCCGTACTACTAGGAACTTCTAGGAACAAGAAGCTACTAGGAACAAGGACGCTAGACCACAGGTTTCATACGATCCGTCTGACATTGGAATCCGAAAAGCACCTTTTTTACACGCTCAGTAGGTCTTTGAGTTTATCCTTTTCTTCGCGCGCTGACAAGAAACCTGTTTGCTACCAATTGTTCAGATTTGGATTTCCAACGGGACAATCTCAGAACCTGGTTCTCCACTTCCCCAGTCGGTTGCTGTCTGGCATTGTTTGGCAGAAGGCCGACAAAGCAATCTAAACCTAGCCGTGAATTTGTTGCTTGTCCCAAGACCATCAGGGGAACCAAAGTAGCCAACCGGGGCCAAGCCTCTCTCCAAAACTGAGATGTCGCTACTAGGGTGGAGGCCATCGCTACTAGGGTTGGAGGCCATCGCTATTAGTTTTGGATAGTTTTGGCACCGGTTTTGAGGTGTTCACTCATTTCGCGCCAGCCGCCACCTTCCTGCGTGATTCTGAGGTCGATCCACCCGTCGCGGGCTATGCAGTGTGGATCTCAGCCAGGCAGATGAGCTGCGACCGCAGCTGGTGAGGTAGATGAAGCATGATGAAAGAGCATGAAACCTACAAAATGAATGAAAGCCTCAAAACTGGTGCCAAAAACTAATAGCGATGGACTCCAACCTAGTAGCCATGGCCTACTGGTTTGTGTGGAAACCGATTCAATTTGATGTACTGAACACCACTTTGCTCGGAAAGCAAGGAACTTTTCGTTGAGTCGCGACTAGACTAGATGTGACGATGCGAAATGCTGAGGTTCCATTGAAGGGTTTTGCCAAGCCAGATGCCCAGAGGGAACGGAATACGAAGAGAACTCGAGCATGTTTTCCTGAACACCTTTGCTGAAGCCATCCGATTTCTTTGGGGAAGGCTTTGCGTTTTCCTGAATTTTTGTTGTGCAGGTTCTGCCGTGGCATGTCCTTGTCGAAGGGCCAGAGGGAGGAGCTGCTGCGGCGTGTGCAAGACGATGTCGAGGTGCAACGGACGATCCGGGAGGCGCGGCATGGCACCTTTGGGGAAAAGGAAAAGAAAGGAAAGGAAGGAAAGGGGTCTAAAGAGGTTTAACTGGAAAGTAGCTTCTTGTTCCTAATAGCGAAAGGAACCAGTAGCAAACGAAAGCCCCTAGTAGCCCCATTGCTCCTAGTAGGGCCAGGAGCCCCTAGTAGCTTCTTGTTACTACTAGTAAGGCACTTGTTCCTAGTAGCGATGCACTTGTTCCTACTAGCTTCTAGATGATCAATTTGTCTCGCTTTTACATGGACGAAGTGAACCGCGGTTCACGTCCGGCCGAGCGACACCGGTCGAGGCCATCGCCCGTCACTGCGGGAACCTCCGTGGAGCTCCCACCTTGGCGTTGCAGGAGCACACTGTCCGACGGTGTCCCGATCGGCGTTTTCGCGTTTTTACGATGACGGAAGGTCCGGGTCTGGTTTTCTGCAGTGAGTTTTGAGGGTCTCGTGTTGGTCTGTTACTAGTAGTTTCTTGTTACTACTAGTAAGGCACTTGTTACTAGAAGCGATGCACTTGTTCCTAGTAGCGTTTTTGCTCCTAGTAGCGATGCCTTTCAACTTGTTGAGGGTACAGTTGCTAAAGCAAGCGTAGGAGAGCATTCTCGTTCCTAGGAATTTTCTCGATAGAATGGGTTTGGGGCACTTAGTTTCCACAGAGAGCCCCCTTCAAAGGACCTGGTGGGTACAGGTTCCTCAGGGTCTTTGATCGATAGGATGAGAAAGCAGGTTCTTGTGTTTATTGCAGGCGATTTGTAATTCAATAGACCTTCGTGTTAATCGGCTGGTCTATGGAAAGGAACCACATTTGAGGGACTCGACGTTCGCCTTCAGGATGCCAGTGCGGGTTGCTCAGCCTTGAGCCTCCAGAAAGCTGTCGAACAGTTTTTGAGCATATCGTTTGCTTCAAGTTTGCTCACGCCATACGTCTGTATGCGTCCATATAATACGTCCATACTGGCAGAGTGAGAAGTGCAAAAGCCAACGCTCCTTGAAAGTCTTCTTTCCTCTCAAACGCAGGGGTTCTCACTTCCACGTTTCTTGAATTCCACCAAAAAAGCACTCCGAATGGGCACAGCTGACAGGCCAAAAAAGCCTCTACAGGCGGCGGCGGATGATTTTTTGGAGTGATGGCTGTTTCTCCATCGCTCTTAGGTTGGAGGCTATCACTAGTCACCAGTAGGTTGGAGGCCATTGGTAGGGTGGAGGCGTATAGGTTGTTCATCAGACTCTTACAAAACACAGGTCTTTCGTGCCTCGCATGCCTCTTGCCTCGTGGGTTGCTTCGAGAGGCTCCTCCTTGGTGCCAGTGAAACGAGGGCGTCAGGCCGGAGAACCGGAGACCCGGCTCGGTTTCCAAGGTTCGGAGACTTCCTGAGAGATCCGGTCAAGTCTAAGCCCGGAAAGTACGAATCAAGTATGGTCTGAGAGTCTGAGGACATTCTAATTCTAATTTAATTTAAGTTAATTTAATTCCAATTTAATTCGTGTTTCTAGCTTCTTGTTACTACTAGTAAGGCACTTGTTACTAGAAGCGATGCACTTGTTCCTAGTAGCGAACATTGTTCCTACGGTCTGAGAGTCTGAGGACATCGGGAAAGACTATGTGGAAACTCCAGTAGTCAAGGGTCAAAGGCCAAGGACGCTACTAGGAGCAAAGGGCATCGCTACTAGGAGCAATGGACGCTACTAGGGGCTCCGGGCTTCAGATTCTGCAAAGGTGCAATTCGCCGCTTTGGAAATTACTGATACGTCCTCATACGATCAAAGCACACACTAGCTTTGATCTTCAAGCGGTTCACCAAACTTTCGCAATAGTGCATTCTTCAAGAGGAAAGGCCTGACAATAAGAAAACAGATATCAAATCTGAAATCCAAAGAAGATTAAAATCAAAAACAATCTAAAAAACTATCTAAAACATCGATTTGTCGGACTGAATGATCCGAGCTCACTGGATTGATGCCTCGGTGGCATCCATGCCCATCATGGAGTGAAATGAACAAGAATTGAACAAACGACTCCTTTCCAAAATCGACTTTCTGGTCAAATTGATGTATAGAATTGTATAAACACATGGCTCGTTTTTTGTTTTTGAAACTGTTTGACATTTTCTATGTTTGGTATTTGTTTTCCTTGTCTTTTTTCCTCCGAAGCTGGAGCGAACTCTCTCCGCGCTGTTGGCCGCCAGGCGAGGACGTCCAAGGGTCGAAAGCAGCCGATGACGGCGCTGGTCCCGTACCAGCCACAGACAGGCAGGAACGGGAGAATGGAGCTGAGGAGAATAGTCACTACTAGCGTGGCACTTGTTACCAGTAGCTTCTTGTTACTACTAGTAAGGCACTTGTTACTACTAGCGTGGCACTTGTTCCTAGTAGCTTCAGTCACTTTTCCTTTGTTCCAGAAGACTCTCTCTTTTTTGTAAGTGTGAAGCAAGAAACATACGCTCTCGCTGAGAGCGTCTTTCATTGCACCTTTCCAGTTTTTTCTCAGTTTCTCAGGAAGACTTCGTGTACCAGTCCGCTTGAAACGTATTTCTGAAAGCCGGAACAGAGCTTGCTCTGCTTGATTTCATGGGCAGGATTTCAGAATTGCTGCCCAGCCAATATGTGTCTACTTCCCCTTGCGCTTTTTAACCACTGTGAGTAGGCTACTTGTAGCAGCCACTGACCTATCAGAGCCCTAGTAGCGTCCTTGTTCCTAGTAGCGATGCCCTTTGCTCCTAGTAGCGTCCTCTTGTTCCTAGTAGCGATGTCAGGAGCCCCTAGTAGCGTCCATTGCTCCTAGTAGCGATGCCCTTTGTTCCTAGTAGCTTCTTGTTACTACTAGTAAGGCACTTGTTACTAGAAGCGATGCACTTGTTACTAGTAGCGTCCTTGCCCCTAAGAATTCTGCCCTCGACCTGGTTGGCTGTTGCCATTGTGGAGGCCCTCGACGGAAGGGACTCCTTGAACTCTTGCTGACCCTGCGAGAGTTGGATTGGATAACCAGCAGATTGGGGGGGTGGAAAGCAAGCAGATTGGATCCAAGTGTTGGCTCGAGCCCAGAGTTGAATAGGTCGGGCTTCCGCTCAGCTGAAGGGACACACCTCTGGGGCCGAACTCGTGTCAGTGAAGCTGCTACTTGTGCTGTTGATAGCTTTCTGACACCTTAGGAGCAAGTAGCTACTAGTAACAAGAAGCTACTAGGGGCTCCTGGCCGTACTACTAGGAGCAAGGATGCTGTCTTTGTGACTTCGATGAGAAGATTCGACACCCCCAAGTGCCTAGCGGCCTAGCGGCTAGATCATGTGCCTCATTAGCATCTCCAGCATCGACAGGGTGGATCTGCATCTTCGAATCACACTTAATCACGTCAAACTCAAAGACACTTTGTGTGAGTTTGCTCCATGAAGATGGATAGGTAAGTCCAGTTGGTCCTGATTTGATCGGTTCGGGCATCCCAGGCGTTAATTGCTTCGTCCTAGAAAGCTTCAGCCTAGATCGTAGCCAGGTTAGAGAAGCACGAAGGCGCCTTCTATCCGGGCCTTCTCACTCTTTGCAACTTGGTTTTCTGAAAGAACCAGACGTGCTGTGCTGTGGTTCTCCACTGAACTCTGCTGAAGTGACACAGAATGATGAGATTTCCTAGGGCGGACATCAAGCTTCACCTGAAAATCAGCTTTAAGGGTTCCACACCAAAGATCCTAAAGCAATTATCAAAGGGTAGTTGAACATCCCACAGACAAGGAGTATCTCCGTAGCTTGTTTTGTGTTCGTTCTTCTTTGGTCGTGGGGCTTTTCTCGACAAACCTTTCGCCGACTCCCTGACGCCATGCTTGGAATCCTCATTGTGCACTGCCTAGTAGCGATGCCCTTTGTTACTAGTAGCTTCTTGTTACTAGTAGCGATGCCAGGAGCCCCTAGAGTAGCGATGCCCTTGTTACTAGTTTGAAGAATCTTGATTTCAATAAGATTGGAAGACGCTAGTCAGTGCATGGGCGTGTAGCAATGAACGGACTTTGATTTGTTCTCTCTCTCTCTCTCGGCGCGATGTTCCTTTGGTGTTGGGTTGCAGGTTTTGAGATGTTTGGGCATCTTTGTTGGCCCAACAGGTGCTTTTTGTCCGAAATACACAAAGAAAGAAAAACCACCTGAAAGAAGAACGTAGATTTTACTGGATGGTTTTTCACATCTTTCCACACATTCACGTCTTCCTCCGGACTGACCTCGAGGCGAGCTGATCCGGGTCACCACCACCAGCCGCCGCGTGTACAGCGCCTCTCCGGGCGCCACGAAGCGTCCGGGGGCCGAGCGAGCCGAGCGGAGCGCTTTGCAGAGCCGCTGCTTCGGGTGCTTCGGTCCTTTAAACGGGGAAAGGGTTTGAAGGGTTTGAAGGCTTCTATTGACTGGCATTTAACCAGCCATCTTGTTACTAGTAGCTATATATTGGCCTCCAATCTAGTAGCTTATTTAGGGTCTGTCCTATTAGCTGTAACAGTCAGTACACAATTATCACTAGTTTTGGACAAGGCCTTTACTAACCATCATCATCCACTGTTACAGGTAATAGGATAGACCCAAAGCTTATTGTTCCTAGCTAGCACAATGAGACATGTTTGTCTTGCCAAGGTCAGTTCACCAATTTTTCCCTCGCAGACTTTGGGCGGACTTCTGCCAGATCCAAACGGGGTCGGGCTCAGATCTCAGCTTCAGCTGGGAGGATCCGGAAAGACACGGAACCATTCTGCTTTTGACAGATCGCTTGAGATAAGGTTATTTTCATGCACTAGGCTAGTGGCATTGTCACAGCATTGGGATAGAACAAGATGAACATGATGAGCGTCTTGTGTCTTTTGTGTCTTCCCGGATGTGTCACAACGGCCTCGTCTGCTCGGTCGTGTTGCGGTGTGTGTTACTGAGGCCTTACAAGGAACTGGAACACAGCTCCGGATGTTGCAGGAATGCTTGCGCACCAGGTGAGGAGGGCCCTAAATTGAACGGTGGTAGGTCGAATTGGGACAGGGGGGAGGGAACAGGTTTGCAAGTACTGAATCACGCATTGAAACGCAATGAGCTTGGTTGTTTGGTGGCTGTAAATTTGGGAGTACATCACGTGTTCTTTTGGAATTTGTAGCCAGACCACTATAATTACCAGTGCTTTCACGGAGCGCCCCAATGTCCACAGTCCTTCAGAACCAGTATCACTTTGTGGGCTTTATTCCCCACCCAATCAAAAGAGCAGAAGATGGTGACGGTGCCACAGAAAACGCGAGGCACCTTCAATAACCTTCATTTCCATTGGTATTTAGGAATTGGCATCTCCTGTGTCAAAGCTGCTTGGGATGTTGTCCATTTATGCACGATCCTAAACTGTGCGCTTGTGCGCACAGGCGATTTGCCTTGCACGTGCAGCATTTGGACTTGTCCACTCTGTGTCGAAGCTCAGACTTCGACCGTGCTACCAATCTTGCGAGGATCAGATTTGAAACAGAAGAAATCTCCAGAAAAAAGAAGAGAAGAAGAAGACGACCAAGTCAAGAAGCAGATTCCGTTCAATGTTTCTTCGTAACAGAAAAACCGCTTCCTTGGCCTTCTTGGTCGGAGCTTCCGGCAAAGCTTCCCAGCTTCGTTGTCACTGAGGGAGATGGCGCCCATCAGCAAAGACGAATTCCAATACATGCTGGGCTGTTTGCCCAATCTGGTGCTTGGCCTTAAGAGTTGTGATGGCCTCCAACCCTAGTAGCGATGGACTCCATCCTAGTAGCGATGGCCCCAACCTAGTTGTCCGAAATTCTTTTTTTGTTTGGATTCAACAAACATCCACATAAGTTCCAAGCTCCTCCTTAGAGTTTGCCTCATGTGTGATTTTGGCTTCTTCCTCAACACATCCATGACCAGCCGGCGCCAAGGCTTCTGTGGTCCTGCCAAGCCGAGGCGCGGGGGCTGAACAGAGTGAATGTTTGAGACGGATTTCAGCGACAGGTTGGAGGCCATCGCTATTATGATTTATGAGGATGTCCTATGAATCGGCATGATGGGTCTCAGACATTCCGACAGATCCACCCTGGATCCACCGTGGTCTTCCACAAAATCTGAATCAGTTCATGTGCTGTGAATGGGATGACGGGGGTCCGGCTTTCAGCTGAAGTTTGATCATAGACCGCAAAGGATCTTTAGCGAAGTGCGCGCAAACACTAACAAAGGGCATCGCTACGGTCATAACAAGGGCATTACTGCTAGTAGCAAGAAGCTACTAGGAAGGGCTGATTTCTCTGGCGGCCCAGATCCCAGCACCAAGTGACCAAGTGGATACTCCCCCTTCGTAGCCTTCTTGTGCGGAAAGGGTTCTTGGCTGCAAAGGCAGCTTCAAGACCTCTTTGAAGTACGTACCTTCTTTATCACGTTGTCTTCTTGCTTGTGACCTCATAGGCTGGGCTGGGGATTTGCAAGTGCGGACCTTCGTGAACATCGCCAAGTCCTTGAAGGCTGGGTGGACGATCATTCTGTGGACCCTGGACAGATGGTTCCAATCGTCCAAGTGGGTCGTGAACATGGCCTCCACGGGGGTCACTCTTCTGATGAATTCGTGTCGCTAGCTGCTTGGGGTTTGACTGTCAGCCATACCTTCAGGGGCAGTGGTACTTGGATTCTTCTCATTTTTTCAAAAATCCTGCCACAGTGATCAGACTCCCAAGCTGCCAAACTGTTGGTCTCTGCTCCTATTGGGAGGATTTGCCAGGCTTTCAAGTTGTGTAGCGTCCCTGCTCCTAGTAGTAAGGCCAGGAGCCCCTAGTAGCGTCCTTGCAGAGTCCAAGTCAATCCTTCAACTTCCCTCTCGCCAACCTTGAGTGAAACTCCAAGCCCATTGAATGCCCATCTGGAAAGCTATCAATCACTTGCCAGACTTTCATAATAGCCATGGCCTCCACTGGAGAAATGCTTTCAGGAAGGGAAGCCCCGTTGCCCCACTCCAAGAACCTGAGATTCAGACGCACCAAACACACTCGCTCAGGTGAGTATCGGTGCATCCTCTCATGCTGACATCATCCTACGAGGAGCTGCGAAGAGGCACTGCATTGTTTTTTGTTTTTTTAAGGCGGACACTGATACGCAAGAAAGGCTTCAGCTGGCTCAGCTGGCGATCAGGAGGAAGTTTGTCAGTTGGGAAAGGCGGCACTTAGCGTTCTTTTCCCGAGGCAAGAACGCTCGCGCGAGTCCGAAGGCACGTTCTCCGGTCATCACTTGCTGTCATGGTTCTTGCAGTGTAAACAGCAAGTCCTCAAGATCTGTCGCCTGTAGGGTGGAGGCCATCGCTATTAGAAACAAGGACGCTACTAGGGGCTCCTGGCCTTACTACTAGGAGCAAGGGTGCTACTAGGTTGGAGGCCATTGCTCTCAGGGTGAAGTCCTCAGGATTCATCGCATCATGGTACCATGAGGTACCACGCACCACGCAGGTCATGGGAGCGCACCCTATTCGTCCCATGCGCATGGGGTGCCCCGCGGTCAGAAGCGGCGGAGCGACGCCAAGGTGGGACCCGCGGCGCTGGGCGCGGCGCCTTCTTCGGTCCAAAGAGGGGGGGGCAGTGAGCGATGCGCTCAAAGAGCTGCAACAAGACCTAAGGGCGATGGCCTCCAACCTAGAAGCCATGGGAAGGAATGGTCCACCCTACTAAGAGGTTGGAGTCGATGTTGCGCGTAACCGCGCGCCTTTTTCAAGTTGCTGAGCTTGTGTAGACATTTGGGACCTTTTCTACGATGGCTAGAGGGGCCTATGTGCTCAACCAGCATACTGAGATGTTGCTTGTCAGTCCTGAGAGCCTTCTTGCATGTTGACCAGCAGCAGACTAGCACTTCGGGTATGGAACCCTTTAGATTTAGCAAAGCTCGTTGAGTCTGCGGACAGGCAGTGCAGCTAGAATTTGAGCGCCTCAAACCTGTTGAGATAAAGATAGGGACATGCCGCCAGACCATTTCAATCTGTCATGTGTTATGTTGTTGTTGCTGCTCGGTTGTTGTTTGGTCGTCCAAGTGTAGATGTACATTCTGATTCGCCACCTGCCGTGAATAAGAAGTATCTCCAACTGCTGGTTTGCAACTGATTCAGCTGGAACTTCTTGAGACGCCATCGATTGGCCAGGTGAGCCACAGAAGCAAGGTGCGGGTGCCAGTTCCGGCGTGATTGGTGCATCACTGTTCTTCCCCAAAGCATTCTCCCAATCGTATAACAGCTTGCGCAGATCATTCAACTGCCAAAGAATGTCCTAACACTCTACAGCCATTGCTACTAGGTTGGAGGCCATGGCTACTAGGGTGGAGGCCATTGCTCTTAGGAGCATTGCTCTTGACTTGCCAGGAACCCAAGTTTGCGGAGCCCGTCCAAGGTGAGCTCGTGCCGTACCACCCCCCGCAGCTGCAGGTCGACTTTCCAGATACACCGGAGGCGCCTCCGGCCTTGAAGGCTTTGCAGGCGCTCCGCGCGGGTGGCCTGCGCCGCCCACCGGCCCCACCCGCCGCGGCTCCGGCCGCGGCTGCAGCGTGGACGGCGCCGCCACTGACCCCGGCGCCGGTGGCACCGATGGTGCGTCCAGCGCCAGCGCCAGCACCGCCCAGGGCGGCGCCGGCGCCGCAGAGCAGCGGGACTCGCTTGCGCTTGGCGCCGAGCGCCCGAAGTGCGCCGATGACGCAAAGCGCGCCGAGTGCGCAGCACGTGAGTGCACAGAGCAGGCCAGCTAGTGCACCGCCAAGGCGGGAGGACCAGCATAAGTTTTGGTGGCTCGACCGCGTGTAATTGAGGCCTGGCAGGCAAGGGGAGAGCTTGCTTTGGCCATAATTCGGCAACCTCCTTGAGCCCGCTGTCCAGACTCGAAGTTTGACGAAAGCTTCAGACGGCAGACTTACACTCTCCTGGTGGCGTTCAGTGTTCAGCACGCCTTCCAAGTTGTCAACGATCTTGCCAGACACCTCAAACATTGTTTCGTGAGGGTTTTTTCGCAGAAGTGCAACGCACCCTCGCCCGAGGGTGCAAAAAGCAACAACGAAGTCCTTCTGTTAGTAACAAGTGCCACGCTAGTAGTAACAGGTGCCTTACTAGTAGTAACAAAGAAGCTATTAGAATTAAGCTTCTTGGCAAACAGCAACTTGAGAAACTACACACCGTGTGCCAACATCTTCGTCCTTTCGTCCTTTCGTTGGGACAGCGAGATCCAGGCCTCGCTCAGCCGCTTTGCAGAAGATGTTGCGTGTCCTGCGTGGGCCAAAAGACCTGTGAACAGCCTTTTTGCTCTTAGGTTGGAGGCCATTGCTTCTATATCGGTTGGTTGCTCTCAGTCTTTTTACCTGGAATAAAGGTGTTCTTAGAAAGAAAAACTGGTCTAAAATGAAACAAACATGAAAGAATGAACGTTCTCAAGACCTAAAGAAAGAAAGAAAGAAAGAGCTGAACAAAAGAAACACAATTATATTATAAAGGTAGAAATCATGTGCCCATTTTTCTATGTAGAACATTTCTAGAGCAAGTCCAAGATCTAGTAGGTTGGAGGCCATCGCTATTAGGATTATTAGGAGGCCTTGGCTAGTAGGTTGGAGGCCATTTCTATTAGGTCCTTTATTAAGTTTTCTAGAGCTAAGTTTTGTAGAACGAAGCTGAAGACGGCGTTTTCCGCAAAGCGATGCGCCGGCGCTCGTGTGCACCGGACTGCACCGGTGTGCACCGTAGGAACGCAGTGCAAGCTGCGATTTCATGTGCAGTTTGGGGTTTGACACTGAGTACAGAGGGCAGTGTCAGAGGGCAGTGTTCGTGTTTGGCCCAGCCAAAAAGGGGCGGCAAGTGTGTCACAAAAGTGTCACAAGCGTGGGGTGGGGTGGTTGGCTTTCATATGCCTTTTGAATTCGAAACCCACAACCAAAGGGGAGGACTCTCACAGCTTTCTCGGGCAGCTCTTGCAGGATCGACACATACTGCACCATGCGGGTGTCCACACGTTAAAGCCACCAATCCAACATGGCACCGGGCATTCCTCCACCGTGGTGTTGACGATGTCTCTTCGAATTTCACTCAAGTCCGCAAAGATAAAGATGTCAAGATGCTTGGAGACCTGCTTGTGCGGGCATGTCAAGGAATTAGCACTAGGAGACCATCGCTATGAGGTTGGAGGCCATTCCTATTAGGTTGGAGGGTCAATGAATTAGTAGTCGGAGTTGGAGAACGGTGACACCATTCCGTCACCGGTGGCTTCCATTTACCACTTTGGACTTTTTACTTTGGGATATCCTTTCCTTCCTTCCGTAGCCATTTTGGCTCAAGCCATGAAGATGCGCAATTCAAACTGAAGGGAATCCCCAGAGAACAGGACAATGGCCGAATCAAACCGACTCCAGCTGCAGATACATGGTGTGGACGGACAGGAGATTGGCTTGTTTGTGGACAGAGATATCTCTGGTGGAGACTTTCTGAATCTGGTCCGGGAACACTTACCTGCAAAGCCGGGCTTTGCTTTGTGCTTGTTGCGTGACAGCGCAACAATGGTTCGAAGGGAGACTTTGCAAAACCAGGGTGTGGTCTCCTCCACGATGCTGCACTACATTTGGACCTTGCCAAAGTTCCAGGAGGTTTGGAAGCTTTTGATGGGTCACTCAGAAGGTGGAAGCACAGAAGACGCAGAGGCTGCACTGGAGGGCATCAGGTCGTTGTCCTTGACAGCTTGGCCGATGCACTTGGAGAATGTGGAGTTACCATCAAGTCTTGAAGAGTTGAGGCTGGTAAGTTTGGCAGGTGTTCTTTTGCCAAGAAGGCTTCAAACTTTGACGTTCGATGATGGCTTCAATGAACACTTGACCGGGATCCCTTTGCCATGTAGCCTCCAGACCATCAGATTTGGGAAGCAATTCGACAAGAGTCTGGAGCAAGTGTGCTGGCCTGAGAGTCTTCATACCGTGGCATTTGGAGATTAGCTTGTAGAGCTGCCGATGCAACTTCAGGATCTTACTTTTTGGAATCACTTCAATCAGTCCTTGGAGGGTGTGACGTTTCCAGAAAGCCTCAGAAGGCTGGCCTTTGGAAACTGCTGTGATCAGCCGCTTGAAGGAGTTCATCCTTCCCTTCCAGACTCCAAACGAATTCCCATGCACTCATGTGGCATTTCAAAGGCATGAGCACCGCAGCCAGAGGATCGATTGGGATTCGAAGCATAAAACTCTTCACCACAGTATTGCTAGGTTTACTACATCCTTTTGATTCCGAAATGAAGAAGATGAACTTCCGGTCGCACCCTCAGGTAGCATCAAAGAATCATGGAGGCAACTCTTGGTTCTCATTGGCCTTTTGCCCCTATAACTGTGAGCTCTGGATTTTGTAACGTGATGTTTTCTGAGACAACTATGCTGCAAAGCACTTCAGGCCTTGACTGTGACCTCCCCTTCTTACCACTTTCAAATAATACCTCAAGGATTTATAGTAGGTGTTATTTATAGTAGGTGTTGAATGGTTTGCCTTTTGCATTTGTTGGTTTTTGTCACGTTTGCAAGATAGGTCAGAGGGAGTTTTCTTGACGCGAGGTCCGTGGACATGGTCATGACATACTACGGCGCGGGGGGGGGGTGCGAGTCGCACGGCGAGTTGTTCGGGTCGATCAAGTTTTGAAAACCACCTACTAGCAATGGCCTCCAACCTCGAGTCACCACTGGCCATGTCCGGAAACGAGTCATCACCATGTTTTCCAGATCTGCAGGGAGATCGTTGAGCAGACAAGTGGGTTTGTCTCTGGTTTGTTTGTCGGTGAAGCATATGTGACTCACCATTTGTTTGTAAATTTGATGGACCTACAAGATTGAGAGAACATGGACTCATGCACATTTCTTTCAAGACGTGGATGGATTTTCGCTCATCTCCAATGTCTCAAACACGTGTGACAGCTTCCAAGGAGAACTTGGGATCAGCCAGTCTGCCAGCCATCGCGAAGTCTTACTTGCCCATCGAGAGCGAGCTCTCCAGACACACCCCGACAAGGACAGAGCAGAGCAACGTAAAGCGAGAGCACGCACCTAATAGGCCTACTAGCAACGGCCTCCAACCTACTAGCAATGGCCTCCAGCCTAATAGCACACGCCTATAGGCCTAGTCAGCCTAATCTACCAACGACACCCATTTACTAACTCCTCCTGGCTAGTTTCAGAAGATTGCCGAGCTTAGCTAAATAAAGCTTCAAATGTGATTTTTCTAGATCAAGAACTGCTACCACTAATTAAGTTGCAGTGGTTTGATTTGGACATGAAGATCGGCCCACAGCTAAAGCAGCTGGATTTCTCCAGGGTGGCTCCCACGATGCATTCGTGAAAGTTCAACAAGCCTTTGAGGTTGGAAAGAGAGGGGTTGTGACGCGGATGATGTCGTGCTTCCATTTTCGCCATTGCGATGGATGATGGACGTAGTGCCAGGTCCTCAGTGATGCCTGGCAGCGCGCAGAGTACGACGCCATGCTCCGTCTGCTGGCCAAAGGCTGGCGCAAGACTGGGGTCGTCAAGCGAAAGTAAAGAGGAGTGGGTCTTTTTGATATGCGCAATGGTATGCAGCGATGGCCTCCAACCCAAGAGCGATATGCGCGCTCTGGTATGCAGAATCATGTTCATTGTTAGATCCTGTTAGAGTGAATTCGTGAATGCACTCTTTCTTAAGACGGTTGCAGCATACTGCCGCTTCTCCTCATTGGCTTTCTAAACACTCCTGGTGAGAGGGCACATGTCAAACTTGACCTCCAAAAAACCATGGTGTTTGCTTCTTGTGTTGCAAAGGAAGTACAAACGGTGGAGGCCTCAACCTCCACCACTTGTTTTGGGCTAGGTTCATCTCCCAAACTCCCGAAGCTCCAGGTAAACACACCATGAAGAAAGAAGCAACGATGGAGAAAGAAGGGCTAACAAAAAGAAGAAATTCAGAAAAGACGAAGTAAAGGGTCTAAAGAAACAAAGATAGAAACGGTTCTCCATCCCAGCCCACCTGATGGCGCCGAAGAGCTGCATCATGCTCCATCCATCTCGCACGGACGTGAAGTTCCCACCGACTCGCACGACCCGAAATTCTTGACATATATGTTCCACAAGTTATAACCACAGTGGTTAAAAATGCCAACGCTCTTGTTCACTCGGTCAAGAAAGGGCTCACGAAGGTCGTCCATGACTCTACACCATCATGTGCATCAAATGCGGGACAGGGATTCTGCTCTCCCCTTCCAAATCTTTTGAAATCTCAGGAATCCCGCTCTAGCTCTTTGGCGCACTATTCGCAACCAAAAACGAAAATTTTCACACCATTCAAAACGAGCTCTTCAGCTCAAGCCCTCTCAACACTTCGGCCTCTACAAGAGGTCTAAACTGCAAGCAAACTCTAAGCTGAAGGCACTGAACCAGCAGCGGCCACATTCCACCCAACGAATCCAGCGCCGCACAAAAGTCAGCCACAACACTCTCACTCACAGCAGCCTCCCGAAGAAGCCCGAAAGACCTCTTTCTTTTCTAGGTGTTCTTTCAAGCCGCACTTCAGCATGAGCACACGCCAACGTCACCCACAGGACATTCAGCAGCTCGCACCAAGATGCTGTAGCCGAACCACCTTTGTTTCATGTAGTGCATGCCATGACTGCCCTTGCGCAAATCCGACCGCACCATCATGCGTCCATCATCCAGCCACCCCACAGTGACCGCTCCAGAAGACACCCCGCCAGTCGCCAAGCAAACGGAAAGCTCGCTATCAAAAAGCCATCCACCATGACGATGAAGCTTCAAGGTCAGAATGCCCCTGGGTAGCGCAACACGACCTCGTGTGTCATGCCGTTTGATGGCTTGACCTTGAGAATGTCCATCACTTCTGCAGAAAGCAACCATGGAAAATCTCGAAGTTCACCTTCTCTCCAGGAACACCTGCATGGTTTCACCTCCACGAGAAGTGTAGACCGTGTCGGAAAAGACGTTCTTAGGCATTCACCGGACATCGCCAAACCTCCGGTGCCCCCTTCGTGTAAGTGAACACCTCCATCAAAAGGCCCCCTTCATGCCCAGGGTCACCCCGTGCAGGTAGTGTCTCCTCTTGACCTGCTTCCCCTCGACCATGCTGAGCCCGATCTGGTACAGGTTCACCCCGACCATGTAGAGCCCCACTTACGCTTCTCAAACTCCGCGCTGCAATGCCAGAACTGCCAAACCCCCTTCCTCCCCTGGACATGTTCGACAGCTCTGAAGACACCGCCGCTGGAACGTTGGCAATCTTCTCAATGATGATTTGAGCAATGCGGTCACCACCCTCAAACTGCTTGGGGGAAGATCCATGGTTGACCACTTTGACTTCTCCTCGATAATCTGCATCCACCACTCCGCCTGCCACATCTATAGGCCTTGAGACGCCAGTGAACTTCTCGATGTTGGGATTTCCAGCGCCAAGCCCGTAGAAAGTAGTTTTCTCTCACCCGGCTCGATCTGCACTGCCATGGTAGTTGACAAGTCCCATCCTGCCGCGCCACAGGACCCCTTTTGGACCCTTTTCCGGAGCAATGGCCTCGGAATTCAACAGCTTGACTTTGAAATTTTCTTGACCCGATCCTTGACCAGGTGTAAGAAGCAAACCAGGCCTGCAAGCCCAAATCACCAAACATTGACGCATTCAATTGACGCACCTCACCGGCAGCTGACCTTGGTACGATAGAATCCGATAGAAGCTCCAGTCAGCATCATCATCATGCGTTTGGTAATTCTCAGATTGTTTTCTGGCGGCAGCGGGTCTCCTTCTTCACGGACATCTCCTCCCGAGGCCTCAACAACGCCCCGACACAGAATCTCTCCAAAGCCTGTGAAGGAAGTGGTTTTGTGAGTCTGCCCACAACTCCGAAGTCGATCCGGTGGTCTAAGGTCAGTTCTCCCATGTTCTGCCAAACAGGAAGCACGGATCCGTAGATGCTGCGTTCTCCAACCTGCTCCCGATCCAGACGCAAGCACCACGGCCGCTCTGTTGTCATTATAGATCTCGAGGTTCACGTCCGGCAACAGCAACTCGATGAGGGCCCGAACAGATCTACCTGTCTGCAAGCCTTCCAGGAGAGCTGTAAGTTCAGCCTCCGCGTGTGAAGCAGCATCGGTCACATTTCTCGTCCCCACCATCAGCACATCATCCACATGGACAATCATGTGGCCCTAACACCTCTCCCCACTCTCTGGTAGTAGACCCTGAGGAATTGGTTATCTCTTCAGTAACCCATCTTCCATTGGGCGGAACCCATACCTCATAGTTTTAGCTCCCTTCTTGGAATCCTCAACCTCCCATCATCTTCTCAAGCTCTGCATCCCGGTCCAGTCTTTTGGCGACGTCGCCAAGCCATACATCGCAGGTAACGACCCAATGCTCATCTGGAGCTGCAAGAGATGCTTCAACCAAGATGCGAGGAGGTTTCACTATGACCAGTTCACCTTGAGCTTTTGGAGCAAGGAGAAAAGCAGATTTCACATCCAGCGACAACCAATGCCACTTCCTCAATGAAGCGACCCGCAGTGTTGGTCTCAGCTGCGTCGAGTCCGCGCCAGTGGCATACACCTCCTCCCCATGCAGTTCTGGACTCCATGTAATTTCCGCAGCAAACAATGCGTGCTCGTCGCCGGCCCTCGCCGGCCTTCCGTGTAAAAACACCCATGCCAGGAATTGTCTCTGCTCTCTCACCTCTTTCCTCCGCCTCACGAACCAGGTTGGTTGTTGGCTTCCGCTTCACTGACACGTTGAATAGCGTGGTTGTTCTCGAAGGGCGGCGCCCATAGAGGTAAGGTCCTTCTCACTGATCGTCCTCGTCTGCAAAAAGACTTCTTCTCCTTCTGCCTCAGACTGAATGGCCTCCATCTCAATCTTTTTCACAGCTACCTGCGCTTCTTGGAGAAAGGCCTGAAGCATGGCATTCACAGTGTCCATCTCATCGATGGTAGAGATCTCAACCTCCGCTTGAAGATTGAATTCCAATCCCTTGAACTCCTTATTGGTCCAGGCCTGCCCACACACCAAACGACGTGGTGCTTCAACCACTCCCATTTGAGCTAACGCCGTCTTCTCCGTGAGTCGCCTCTTTGGCTTGACGGTCTTGTCCAGGAGATCTGCTAGCTCTTCTGATCTCACCGACCTTACTTTGCTAAGTTAGCGGTGTTCTCCCGGGCACCTGCCAGCCTGCCAGCGCTCAGCCGCCGGCCAAGGCGCCGGCCGACTCGGCAACCCGCCGGCCGACTCACGCCGGCCGACTCGCACCATCCCCATGCCGCCCAGGTTCGACTGGCTGAAGTCCTCTCCCCCACACTACTAGACAGTGAAGGAAGCCCCTCATCACGGCGGCGATCTGACATACCTTCAAGCTTGTTCAGATATCCAATGTTCTCCCCCAAGGTTGGCTTTCGCCGAGCATGACCCAGTGCACCAAGGTCCAAGCGGATCTCCCGCATCGTGTACTTCTCAATGAAGGCCTTCCATTCTGGAAGGAAGAAGGATGGGTAGCCCACTGGGTCACTGGACCCTTTGTATTCTTGGGGATCTCTTGGCTGCTCTTTCAAGAACAACACCCTACGTGGTCTCGAAGCCGCTGCCAAGGAATACAACCACCATTGTCTCATCCAAGCGCCCGAGAACTTCTCCAGGGGCAAAGGAACTTGTTGGTCCACTAGCTGCTTGAGAAGCGTGGTCCGTTCACCAAGACCTCCTGGTTCATAAACACGGAGCACCTTGAACATGATTCCGATCGAGCTGACTTCTCTCTGGGCAACTGTAGCTCTGACCTCAATGACTCCGGAAGACCCTTGATTAAAGCCACCGACCCCCTTTGCTCAATCCTCAGCCAGGGTGCCACTTGAAATGCTGGAGGAGAAACCGGTATACTATCTTACAAGGCGAAGACGCTCCATAGGTTCAGACCCCAACCACACTCGATATAGGGCCCCAGCCACGCGCAACACTTCATCCCACCATAGCGAAGAGCTCGAACTCATGTCCCGCAAAAAAGGCCCAATGCTGGTGATCCAGTCTCCTGCAACAAGCGGACCAACCTCTAACTCTGACAGCTCTGGCAGCATTGGAAGGTCGGCTGCTCTTACTGACTCTTGCTGGGCCATCAATCCTCCCAGCCACTCCGGCACGTTTCCAAATGGAAAGCCAGCACCAAGGGTTGCAGGAAATCCTCCTCCACCCGAGAAACCACCTCAGGTCCTCCTGCAGGAAAACCGCCTCCACCAAAAGGAAACCCTCCCCCGCCAGGAACACGTCCAGGAGGCCCGTGTGGAAGGCCATTTCTTCCAGGACATCCATTCCATTTCCTCCACTTGGAGTATGGCCCCCGCTACCTTGACTAAGAGGATCACCCTGTGCACCTTCTCGATTAGAAAGAAAAGAGGACGCCCATCTTGTACACCTTGACCTCTTTAAAAATCATGACATCGTGAATCTTGTCCACAACCACCAGTTCGGCCCTGAGCCACGAGATTCTCGCGCGCCCGATTGACTTGCCGTTTGCGATGGCTCTCCTGAACTGCCTGATTTCATCTGTTGCCATCCTCCATGCGCCGGAAGTGCCATAGTGCACGCACCACCCGTTGAACAACTCCAACAAGCTTAGTCGTGAAAAGGTTCCATGCCCTCCATGAGCTCCCGAACCCTTGTTGAAGAAAAGGGAAACCACCACCACGATCGCCCGAAGGTGCCAATGCCCCCAACAAACCTTGCTCCTTGTGAGGTGTCAACGAACCAAAAGATGCCTTCAACACATCCATGACAGCTCTCACGCGGTTTCGATCCTACCCTTGACCTTCTCCCATGACTCCACCCGGCCACTGTTGAGGACCATACGCAGGTTCAGGTGGGCGCCAACATTAAACGCTTCCCTCTCCGACCACAAACGCGCATTCTCCTGCATCAAACCTTGCACCATAGCCCGAAAGGCCTCCTGTGGCTCCCTCGGTCGACTTGTAGGCACGAAGTATGGCTTCGTCCCTGGCTGTCTCGCTCCAGACCGGGTTGATGTGAGGTCTGAAGGAAATCGGGGTTCGCACGGTTGGATATCTTCTAGCGCTTTCGGCCCCGAGTCAGGTGTCTTCTCGCTAACACCTTCCGACATGGCAGTGAAAAACGTCACCTTGCGCTCATAACCCGCAGTGGTTAAACATGCAAACGCTCTTGTTCACTCGGTCAAGAAAGGGCTCACGAAAGTCGTCCATGACTCTATACTATGAGGGCCGTTATAACTTGTGGTACTTATACCTGCAGTTGTGTCAGTTATACCTGCAGTTAAGTTGAACTTACTCGGGGTACTTACGCAGAACGTAGAAGTGCCGCGCATGTGCCGCGTAGTTTTTGTATGTTTAAGACACCGTGACGCATGCTCTCGAGCGGTCTTTTTTCGACTAATGCAGGCAACACACGTCGGATCCTATGAAACACCACCAAGCAGCAAGCGTCACGTCGATTTCTGGCTGTGGCTTCCACCACTTCTTCAGGCCTGATGTCTTCCATCGACTACCCCATGGGTAGTCTCTGATTTTCTCCATAGTCTGCAAGTGCAGATACAGCCCGCACGCAGGGCCACAAACCGCCTTGATGAATTGGCCGGCTACATTGTCAGTGAGCACGACCATGTCGCCCGCGGTAATCTTTCTCTTCCACATGAAGACGCTGTCTGCGCAGAGAAGTCCATTGTCCCTGAAAGGGAGCTTTTCTTCCTTCGTGGCCTCTTTATCGGGTTTCCCCAGACCCCACTCGCCCATGCCATATCTCTGACTGACCTCGGCGTTGCGCAGAACCAAACGAGTAAGCATGGATCTCTGCAAGCGGAGGGAGTCGCCGCAGCAACCTTCCAAGCAATCAACGAGACCATGTTTGATTTCTTGGTGCTTCTTTTCTTGAATGGCGCAGTGCGGCAAGAACCGCAACTGCTTGCCCCAAGCTCTCCGGAACAGCTCCTGGTGTTGGCTTTGAAGGCGTCTCAGCTTCTGAACCTGTTTGGAATCAAGCGGTGTGATCACATAAGACAGCCGTCGGAGCTCTGAGCAGATCTGCAACCTAGTCTCTGCGTCTCCGCGTCGGCCATGTCCAGGGGCGACTAATGTGTGCGCGGAAACAGCGTCGAGCCAGAAAGCCTGCGCGCATAAAAATATCCTATTTTCAAGAAATATCCACTAGAGGCCGCGGACGTTCCGCGGACGTTGGCCCCAATCTACTTTAATAAGCAGCCCCAGTCCCGCGGACATCCGCGGACGTTCCGCGGACATCGCCAAAAACCACAAAACGTACATGCCCTGAACGCGATATGGCGCTGCCGGAACCTCCTTTTTCTTGACCGCGACTGTGTGCGTTCTGTGTCCGTCAGAACGTGAAGACAACGCTATTGTCTCCTGTTCTGCGCGCGTGAGTGTGACCTTTGTCGCTATACTTGCCTTGTGGCTGCTTGCCTTCTCTTTCGCCTTGTGTTGGCGACACGCGCTGCGTATACAGCTGCGCACTTCCCAGTTGTTGGTGCGCTGACAGTGCCCGGAGAACACGTGGTCCTGCAAAGGCCAGTCCTGGGAACCCGCAGTTCCCTGCAGCGCGCCCTCCCTGGGAACGCGCAGTTCCCTGTCGTTTGCGCGCAGACCGTGCCCGGTGAACACGCGGTTGCGCGCGGAGGACAGTCCTGGGAACCCGCAGTTCCCCGGATGCATGTGGTGTGCACTCCACGCGCATGGGGGCCCGGACTTCCCTGCGGCGCGCCCGCGGTGCGCAGTTCCCGTATACGTCTTCGCGCTTTACAGGCGCCTTTTAAAGGTGCGTCCTGCAGGCGCGTCCACGGGCGCGTCCTCAGGCGCGTCCCCTGCAGGCGCGTCCTGCAGGCGCGTCCACGGGCGCGTCTTCAGGCGCGTCCCCAGGCGCGTCGCGCCGAGCCCGCGGTCGCAGATGCCGATTTCCTGCAAGCAGCCATCAACTTTTTCTTCCTGGGTGCAGAAGTCTAAAGCTTCTATCAGGCTTGCCTCCTCCTCCGGAGGTACTCCCGCGTGAGACAAATGGTCTGCTAGCGAGCTCAAATGCATCCGCCTGCTTTCTTGTTGGCTGGGCTCCAAAATCTTCAAAGCCTGCTCCATTGCTTTCAAACAAGGTTCCCAACTGCAACCACTCATGCCAAAAGTCTTGCTCGAGTGCGGTTTGAACGCGCGTTTTGAGCCGGATTGACGCTGCTGCGTGCATGTACATGCTATACTCTGAGTAGATCTATATAAGTTCACAATTCAATGTTTTTGTAAGTAGCGCGTGTGTGCAGTGTAGGTGACGCAACTTACTTCCGCGGAACTTACCAAGTTGAACTTACGAAGTACCGTAACTGCAGGTAGTACTTGCGGAACTTGTGGAAGTTATAAGTCAACATATAACTTCCGTACGTGCACTTGTACTTAGCTTATAAGTTAACTTATAACAGCCACAACTTATAAAGACCCTCATAGTACCGACGTACATCAAATGCGGGACAGGGATTCTGCCATAGCGACCCTCTCCGTAGTCGAAACGCAGGTCCAGGCAAGATGCACCGCGCGCGCAAGGACCTCAGACAATTTAATTCGTGTCATTATTTTATATGGCTTATCACTTCGCAACCTCAGGTACTCCGAAGCCTCCGAAGCTGCCAACACCGAAGCAGAGGAAGCAGCAGGCCAAGGCTGAGAAGAAGAAGGAGAAGGCAACTCAGCTTGATGGCCTCCGGCTTGCTAGCGATCTACTAGCGATGCCTCCAACCCTACTAGCGTTGGCTTCCACCCTACTAGCAATGGCCTCAACCTAATAGCGATGGCCTTCACCCGACTCGCGATAACCTCCACTTTGATGGCTTCTCAATTTGTCATTCTGTTCTCTCTTCGTTTTTCTTCCTTTCTTGTTGTTTTCCTCGCCTTTCTCACATCCCAGTTTGCTGCGCGCGGGAAGCAGCAGCCAGACTTCGAGGAGCGCAAAGCTGCCAGCCAGTGAGGTTATTTGTGGAGTCAGTGTGGACGTCATATTAATTGACATGTGTTGAAATCACTTGGAACAGGACAAAACACCATTCACATTTCATATTATTCGTTGATAATCATTTGTATGTATGAAACTATACCGGCATAGACCCCAGATAGCACTTCACGAAAAGGATAGCATGGCAAGGGCGGGAGACAAGCTTGGGAGACATCCCACTCAAAGCCGGGAAAAGGATGGAAAAGGTAAACAAGACCTAAATCATCTTATAACAGCATCCGCGTCAAAGGCAGGCAAGAAAAGCCAAGGGCGAAATCAGGAACAGAGACAAGCTTGGGAACCACAGCGGCAGCCAAGAGCGAAATCATGAAGGGAGACAAGCGTGGGAGACCGCTTGAGAGACAAGGCGGCAGCGGCAGCCAAAAGCGAAATCATGAAGGGAGACAAGCTTGGGAGACAAGGCGGCAGCGGCAGCCAAGAGCGAAATCATGAAGGGAGGGAGACAAGCTTGGGAGACAGGGCGGCGGCAGCCAAAGGCGAAATCATGAAGGGAGGGAGACAAGCCGGCAGAGGCAGCCAAGAGCGAAATCATGAAGGGAGACA